GGAAAGATTTTCTCCAGCACATGCTATGACCCAGGCTATTGGCTGCATGTGCTTTTCCAGCTGGATGGGATGCGGGAAAGGCTGGGATTACTGGAAATAGGAGCAGGGTCTTTAGGAGACAGGAGTCACAGGTCTGCAGCTTACACGACTGCTTTTTATTCTCTTATTCCACCAGCTTCGGCATTTGATGGGTTGAAAATTTGCAGAGGGTAACTGTGAAATAGAATTTACCTTGAGTAAGTGTCCAAGCCTTTTACAGGGCTATATGAAATAAAATGGGCTGTATTAAATAAATAAAGCTGGCTGAGACCCTTTTCAGAGAGAACTAACTAGAGATAACTCTCTGCAAGCTAATGCTAAGCCTCAGAGATACCCTTCACCATTTTAAGATGTGTCTGCTGGGAAGGAAGAGGAATTAATGTGTGAGGAAGAGGTGCAGGAAAAGTTTGCTAGGTTGAAAACTCCACTGTGGATGTGGTTGCAGGTCTGCAAGACAGTTCACATATTAACATCCCTGAGTTAGCTGAGATGTAGCAACTGACTGGACACACGCTCCAGCTGAACGTTGATCATAAAGTGCATCCAGTTTTTGGGGGGACTGAAGCAAACCTGTTTCATTTTGCATTGCTGTGGGACAGATGATACATGTAGCTGGTTATCTGTGATGAGATTCACCTGATTAGAAGTGGGTGTCTATGGTGTCAGAGTCTACATTTGCATTCTCCTCAACAGAGTTAATGGAGTCAAGTGTGGAAATTATCTTTTCTAAGGTAGATGTCTGCATTTGGTCAAATGAACACACCCTAACTCCATTGATTTGTATTGATTATATTCTCTTAACTGGCTCTGAATGGACACAATGTTCAGACAGCTCAGATATGGGCATACACATTGTAGACACCTAAAGTTAAGTGAGATGAATCTCGTCCTAGGTTTCACTTCACACAGTGACTTTGTAAGACACTCTAACAGGATCCATTACACAGCCTGCCTGGAGAGAGACCTTAAAGTGGGTAAATAACACAGATCTGTCCCAGGGACTGTAGAGTGGTGGCCTTAGTGCAGATGAGAAGCAAGTCCAGTCAATCCAAACCACTTCTTGTTTGACAGAAAATGGCCAAGTATACGTGCAGAAGAAGCCCACCATGTACCCACCCTGGAACAGCACTTTTGATGCCCACATCAACAACGGCAGGGTCATGCACATCGTCGTCAAGGACAAAAGTGCCGAGATGGTTTCAGAGACCACAGTGGAACTCAAGGTGCTGGCAGAGAGGTGCAAAAAGAGCAATGGGAAGACAGAGATATGGGTGAGCATCATTATCTCCTCTTGCAGGATGTGATGGGGAGCTGCTGTGGGGTAGGGGAATGCCTTGTGTCCATGCCAGGCTGTGACTGTAAACAGCAGGGCAGCAGGAACTGGCTGCCATCCAAGGAATAATGTTTTGAGTCTACTTGGGTATGACTTGAAGGAAGGATTTCCATGCATATTAGAAAAAAAGAGCATGGCACATTTATATTACCTGCTGCTGTTACATTGAAACTTATGTCCTGCGTTAGCGAGGATTCTGGTTCAGGTGAGCCGTGCCCACGTATTAATCTTTGCTTAGGAAACCCACTGGGGACAAATGGTGATATGAATGGCTAAATGTGAATTATTTTATGTGCTCTGGGGAAACAGCTTTAAAAATTTAATTTAATATCAAGTAACTGATTCACAGCTGCCTGACTTCAAAGTTATGTCAGAGGAACTCCTTTAAAATCACTTGAGTTATAGTGGAGTAAATTTGAAGTAACAGTGTTCATAAGGATGCTAAACGTAAGGTTGTGTTTCCTGGTAGTCCAAGCAAGAAAGTTCTTGATAATAGTCTTCAACATGTAGTATTCAGTAGCCCTGCCATGAATAACAATAAAGTGGAAAGACATTTGGAGAGAAACTGATTTCCTGGATTATTTTTTTTTTTGTTTTATTTCTCATGCCAGTTCTCAGGCTGAGCTGCTTGGGTTAAGCAGAGAGTAGAAAAGTCAAAAAGGCCTTGGTCACTTAACAGACCTAAGAGCAAGATTTGGTAGAGATTTGCACATTTAACACATAACTTGGGAGGAATTGAGATACTTAGGGACAGAATTGAAAAACAAAAGGCTCTGCTCAGCATGACTCCAACCCCAGGCTTCAAAGCCTTGAGAGGCAGTAGCTTGGTGAGGACGAGAGGGGGCACAGAGTCTGGGGTGCTGCTTGCTTGCAGCAAGGGTAACAGACCCGAGGTCAAGTGTAGTTGGGAGAGTCTGGTCCTGTTGTGTCCCAGCCTGGTAGCAGCTCCTGAGATCTTGTCTCCACTCACTCCCTGATACAAGTTACAACCCGGGAATGGTGGTCCCAGATACTTCATCCTGCAAGGGTCGTGAAGAGAGAGAATAGCATTTTTCTCACTTTTCTGTTCAAGGGCACGGTTTCACCAGGAAGGTAGAGAGGCAACCTTGCTTAGGCTGTGCTGAAGGTGGGAGGGAAGACACTGTTGTGGTTCTCAGGGTGAAGAAATCCTTGAATGTAGGTCTTCTTATTCCTAGGCAAGTGGATCCAGATTTACAAAGGCACCTATGGACGGAGGTTCAGATAGGTGGGAATTTCCAGGTCCAGTGGGAAGGCTCAAAAAATGCCTGAGTAAGCTTGTAGCATCACTCACATAGACTGGAATGGAAGTTAAGACTTGCAGAACCAAGTGTCTAAAAGATTTCAGCATCTTTTAAGTACCTGTGTCAAGTTGGCTGGTTTTTCTGAGGTGCTCTCACTTACCAATTGCAGGATCCACTGGGAATGACAAGTTTTCTCTATAGATAGTGCTAGTCCTGAGCTAGTGTCTAAAAACCTGCCTACAGCTTCTGTGGTTTAGTCACATTTATCTCTTCTACCATGCCATTCCAAGAGTTTAAGAGGTGATCTAGCCTCCTCTCTCTATAGTAGCTCCTACCCTGCCTTGTTGCCCCACACGGGTATGAGCAACCCAAAAATTAGCATTCATTGGCATTCATCAGTTCCCACTGGGAAAAGGAGATAGCTTGAGTCATCTGAAATGATTGTTGCTTCTTTGAATGACTGTTTAATGATTGTATTGGTCTTTTTTTCTCATTTTTCACTTATCTCAACCAGCTAGAACTGAAACCTCAAGGACGAATGCTGATGAATGCAAGATACTTCCTGGAAATAAGTGGCAAGTGATTTGTTTGTTAATTGATAGATGTGATTTCTGGTTATGTGAGGCAGATGTGGTGTCTTCACTGAAAGCAGTGCCTATGTTATTACTGATTTATTCATAGGAACTATCATAACAGTTTGAAATGAACTCTCCAGAAAAGCAATTTTTATTGTATGGTGGGGATGAAGATTGATTGTTCCTCTGTGATTTGCAAGGCAGATTGTTGGCCATTTTACCATTAAAATGGTAGATTTTCTCATTACGCTAACTAAGACAGAATAGATACATAAGGAGGCAGCTCCCTCTGAAATCATTCTACTTGTATGTATGCATGTAACACATGCTGTGGTGTGTATTATAGTGCAGATGTAAAGGTTGGGATACAATTTATGGTTGACAAGACCTACGTATACATGTTAGTTGGGCTTTTAAGATGAAGAGCAATCTAGGCAAAACAGGAAAACAACCTAGAGAGCAATCCATCTGATCGAATTCAGGTTTCTGCTGCAAGGTGAGCTGAGTCATTCGCTGGGCTCCATTGCTTGCTTCAGCTACACCTCCAGGGACATGGCAGCAGCTTAGTCACCCTGGACAAGGGACACACTGTCATTTACGTGTCTTCACTGGGAACCAAATCCCACCTGCAGAGTTCAAAGTCCATGGGAAATGGATTTTGTTTTGTTGAAGAAAGTGGGTTGCAATCCAAATGGCCAGTCTTATTCACCTGTCTTTGATGCCAAAGTTCTCACTGCCTTTCACAGATGTGGGGTGAAGCTGTAAGGTGTAGGTATCTAGAAGGACTTGCCATTTGTAGAAACATAGAAGTAATGAAAGCAGCTAATAGCATGTCCCTACTGATATTTTCTTCATCCATTCCTACCTTTAATGTAGAATAGACTATTGTTGCCTACTTGTATGTTGTAAGATATCAGAGAGACCAAAGCATAGAAAATGCAAGTTGTGTTTGTATTATAAACAGCAAGATCAGCAGCAGATCACACGGGGGCCAGTTTCCACAGAATACCTACGTAACTTGCTGTGTGAAGCATGAGTAAAACAAAACAGAGATTGAGAGTGAGATATTGTGTGCATATTTAGATTTGTAGACACAAGCACACATAGAAGTGCACGTGTATATGCATGTGTGGTCAGAATTGGTTTGTTTGCTATTCTAAAAAGTTTAAATGTGAACTGTGAATAATGGCGTGGACACAGAAACAGCAAAGCAATTGTTGGCATGGAAAAATAAGAAAAAGAATATCCTAGGAACATACATATGTGCTTACTCACACACACGTACATGCACACATAAAGGATTCAGTTAAATACCCACATGTATATATACACATGTGTGTTCGTGTGCATATATAGATAATTATTAATTTTTATGTAATTTCATCTTTTTTAGGGCATGGTTCTTCAGTGCTATACAAAGTTAGAATTTTATGTTTACTGCAAATTATGTCTCCTTGGGAAATTTCTGGTCTACATTTCAAAAGCAGCATTATGAATATTCAAGGCATCTCAGAGTCCCAAGTTTAAAGTCATTTTAGTGTCCTTGTAGGAATGGCAGATTAAAAAAACATCCAAACAAGCCATGTGTGGGTTTCAGAAAATGTTATTTCTTAAAAATACTAATTTCCATGAGTGAATCATTAGCTTCAGTCACTTTGTATTTTGGCAGCTGCATTTTCTCAAGGTGCCTGATCAGGACAGAGTGCCCTAATAAATCCTCTGTTTCCTTTCCCCCAGATGCAAAGGACCTGGCTGACTGTGAGACTGAAGGCTTTTTCTCCTTGCATCAGCGCAGGGGAGCCATCAAACAGGCCAAAATCCATAATGTCAAGTGTCATGAGTTCACAGCCACCTTCTTTCCACAACCCACCTTCTGCTCTGTCTGTCATGAATTTGTATGGTAAATGAAAACAGATCTATGCATTTTCCCCTTTTAACCCTAGGGACTAGTTCTTGTGTAGACGTGGTGCTTAAGGATATGGTTTAGCGGTGGACTTGTCAGTGTTAGGTTTATGGTTCGACTCAATGATCTTAAAGGTCTTTTCCAACGTAAATGATTCTATGATTCTATGATTCTCTGGTGAATATCTGTGCTCCTGCTGTCAGTAAAGGCAGCAGGACTGGACCTTTGGCATCTTAATTGTAGAGCTATTGCATCACTTCAAGGATGTGGTTCACAGTTGTAATTCCAACTGTGAAAATTCGCTTCGTTTTTTGGTTTATTTTTTATAAATATTTTTGCCCAAATGCACAGACATGTCTCATCAGCCCAGTTTGGCATTTGGATATTGTGAAATTCAGAATGTGAATATGTGCTGAAAAGGCTGTGAAAACCACAGAGAATCACTCCACAGTTAGATTGAATGAAGATATTTAGATCAGAGAAGCTCTGTAAAGAGTGATAAAAAGCAAAGCTGTTTTTTCTGTTTCTTTCATAAATGCTGCTCTCCTTTCTTCTGTCAAGGCTTTCAGAAAATTCAGAATTAATCATTTCTCTGTTTATTTCAGGGGTCTGAATAAACAAGGCTATCAATGCAGACGTAAGAAACTTTTTTGATTTTGTTACTATCATTATTTACTTGATCCTTTCGTATGGAATTTTTTTATTAACACACTTGTTCTTTCAGAATGTAATGCTGCCATTCATAAGAAGTGCATTGATAAAGTAATAGCCAAGTGTACAGGATCAGCAATAAATAGCAGAGAAACAATGGTATGTATTATTATTTGGTTGCTTTTAAAAAACTTGGGCATCATTCAGGTCTCTCCTACATTGCTGTAAAACAACTACTGATGAAGCAAAAGGTGCTACTGAACTAAAGGCTGTCTGATCTGATCTGTGCCCTTTGTTTTTTATGTTCCCAGTGGTTTCATTACCTCCTACTTCTGATTTACTCAAATGCAGCCGCTGAATAAGCAGTTGCTGAATCAGGACTGACATTTTTCTAATGTATGAAGTACAGCTCAGAAGGAAGTCGTGGACATGAGGTGGAGATTTATTGGAGGAAATTCTTCACTACATGATGTTAGGCAGGACATCACACTGAATTTTCAAAGTAGTACTTTAGCATCCCACTCTGTGTTATCCGAGATTTCCATACAGTCAGTGGAAGATCTAACATCTCCACTATTATTTATTTTATTTTCTCATATCGGTTTATAGTAAATCTTCTTTTTTGGTGGGAAAAAGGGGAACTTAAACTCTTGATAGGACTATTCCCTTTTTCTTAATTGTGTGCCACAGCATCTGTTTGCTCCCAGTCCTACCCTGGCTCCTGTTCTTCTTCTACAGTCTTTAGAAATGAGATTCATCTCACCTGTCTTCTGACATCTCCAGGAGTAGATGTATCTAACTTTGTCATCACCTTTGACTCCCTATAAACTAAAAGAAGAAAAATACGCTCTTTCTCTTCCAAAGAGTGATTCATGACAACAAATGTAGACATCCATTTCAGGATGGGATGAATAATTTTTAGAAGTAGTCCTGGTTTTCTATTAAGCATTAAGGGAATCTGGGTGCGTAGCTGAGATGCAAGTTATCTGGTCAGATAAATCAAGATGAGGGATTAAATTACCCAGTTCCCACTGAATTGTACAGATATTATGTATCAAAATTTAGCTTTGTATATCTGAATGATAGTTATACATGGTTTCTTCTTGGTGGTCATACTCAAGGATAAAGGGGCAGTAGACAACCCAATTTCTGTGGTACGAGCCTGGGGGCTGTTGGTTTTCCGTACAGAGCTGATGTGGAGAGGAGTGAAGTGCCAGCATGGTTTTTCTCTTGCAGTTCCATAAAGAGCGATTCAAGATTGACATGCCTCACCGCTTCAAAGTGTACAACTACAAGAGCCCGACTTTCTGTGAGCACTGTGGCACACTCCTCTGGGGCCTTGCACGGCAAGGACTGAAGTGTGATGGTGAGTCCCTGATGTATGTGGTGTGAGCTGAGCATGGGAGTGGGCTGTTGTCTTTAGAGGGTTGCAATCTGAAGAGCCAGATCTCATTTATCACACTTTTCTACAAGACCTGTATGAGATGGCATCCTGGGTGGTGAAGGAGTGGTCAAGAGGACCACCCTTCAAGGAGGATCATTCTTCAAGGAGGACAACAACTGTCAGTATACAGAAAGTTATGCGGTCCACGAGGCTGAAGAGTCACTTCCCAGAGAGGCAAAGAAAATTTCAGTGACACTGCTGATCTTTCAAAATCACTCCTAGTATCAACTTGCATGCTCTAGTTCCCCTATCAGACAGACCCAAGACACTTCACCATCTTCATAATCCTATACCAATGGGGAGATCCTGTCCTATGATTACGGTTTATCTCTGAGCTGATAGACTGTAGAGTTTTGGTAGCCTGTAGCTGCAAAGGCTGATGGATGTGGAAATGCAACCTTTTGCCCAGAAGAACATACAAAAAAACTTTGCCTCCATAGAGAACCAAAAAATTACCTGAGTGCCATCTCATGAGATGTAAATGGTGCCCAGGTTTTGAGCTGTTTACGTGGCTGATCTCTGCCCTTGGCCAACAGCTGCTCATGTTCCTGCCCAACCTGATGTCAAACCCTTTACAGCCTAGCTATCCTTTGTTGTCCTGACACCTCTTGTACTTTCTTTCAGCATGTGGCATGAACGTCCATCATAAGTGCCAGACAAAAGTAGCAAACCTTTGTGGAGTTAACCAGAAACTAATGGCTGAAGCTCTGGCAATGATAGAGAGCACCCAACAGGTAAATACTTTAAGCCTTGAGTGACCTGGAGAAAGGAGGATCAGTTGTTCAATGTTTGTTTCAGTGCAAGAAATATGGGCATTGAGTGGAGCACTGTGGGTAGCAAGCTCAAAGTAAAGACTAGGAAATGGGTCCTTCATGGAATAGGTAGTTAAGCTCATCTCAGCACTTTGTGAAGGCCAAAAGTTTTCATGGGTTCAAGTGACAATCATCTCCAGTGCTCATAGAAGAGAAATCCATTCAGGAACAACAGAATGATCAATTCTGTTAATAGAAAAACACTGCCTTTGAATCGGGAAATCTCTGAGCTGCATATTTCTGGAGATAGGGAGAATATTCTGAGGAGATGACTTTGCATGCCTGCACTCTTCTTATATCTTTACCTGGTGTCTGCTTGACCCCGGTTGCAGATGGGACATGACCTGGATGGGCTCTTCCTCTGATTCGGTACAGTTGTAGTTACATTATGTTCGTAACTGAGGTTGTGTAACAGGGTCCAAGGCATAATGAGAGGAATTTGTTTTGAGTCCTTTGGCTGTCACTACCTTGCTCCATGCTTGTGACTTAGCAATTTGTTCTGTGACTCTCTGTTTGGAATGAAACTCCCCAGAGCATGGACTCTCATGAAGAGATCTGGTCCTTGGGGAGAGGATCTACATACTACTGTCATATAAGCAACACTGTATGAACACAGAAAATTGAATTAAAAGAAGGAAAAATAACTTGTCACAAGCCCAAAACCACAAAAAAATTTAGAGATTCTAGTTCAAAATCAGGATTGTTAGGATGCCTCTCAGCTCTTGAGTAACCTCAGAGAGGGACAAAATCAGCAGGTACCTAGTCCTCTATATTTAGGTTACTCAAGTATCCCAAGGCAACATCTTCATCCATACAGTAGGTGTTTTTCCTTCTGTACCTTCCTGAGGTCTATCTACCAAGTTTAGCTCTTCATATTTCACACCTTTATGTGATAGGTTGTGCTGCCAAACCTCCAAAGAGGAGTTTTTTCTGCTCTTGCTTCTCTATTTCTTACCTGCTGTCTCTCTACAGCTCCTCGCACTGTATACTTGGAGTCACCATTGAGAGGTGAAGAGGGCAAACGCTAGATACTTTCCCCAAAATACTCTTCTAATCTCCAGAAATTTAGGCTTTGGGGTCTTCTTGAGCCATAGGTGGAGTCTTAGTGTTTAGTAGCCCTCAGAGGATTTATCTTTCATGCTTTTGTCTCATCACCCTTGAATCCAGACAAACTCTTGCCTTCTGCAACATCCTGGTGCAAGGAGTTCTTCAGAGTGACATCCAGACACTGTACAGGGATGAAGCTGCAGCATGTTCCAGCCTCTAGTATTTTTCAGGATTTCTCTTCAAAAAAAGAGGACTATTGGGAAGGAAGTTATTATTTAAAATGCCCTTTGTGTGGATAGCCAGGGACTCAGACCCCTGTGCAAAATAGGGTATCTGTTTTGGCAGTACAAAATATTGACAGTACAACGACCTGTTAACACCCACACACATCTCACAGAAGGCTGTGGGTCCCTCTAGGTTACCAAACCCCTAAATGTTAGGTACAGAGATGCTCTTCTCATAAGCAAAGACCTCTTCTAGATCTTGGCTTCTGTGACAGTCACACTCAAGAAGCCACAGAGTCCATAAGCTCAGAACATGACATTTGGCTCAAAAGTCATTTGCTGTTTTCTGTAATCCAGGCTCGCTGTCAGCGTGACACTGAACAGATCTCCAGGGATGGACCTCTTGAAATTGGCTTCCCAGTTCCTGTGAAGGAGGTAACACCGCTTCAGGCATTGCCAGCATCTACAACAGGAAAAAAAGGTAGTTTTCCCTAGTGATATGGAACAGCAGGCTTTGTTAATTTTTTGGTTTGTACATGGTTAGATGGAGATGACAAGGATGGGGAATTTATTATGTCATTGAATCATTGAATCTTTCATGCATCTTTCCAGCCTAGAGCAAGACATACCCTTTCTCATCCCAGGATATTAACAACTCTTCCCAGCCACATCACTTGGGCATGGCAGATACCCTAGATCTCAGCCTTTCCTTTCTATAAACCTGTACTTGCCCCATGCCATCCTGACCTCTGGTGACATGAGACACCAACCACCACTCATTCAGCTAACCCCTAAACTCTCTTTCTGACCCAATACTTGAGCACAACTCATACCTCCACTGGCAATAATGTGCTTATTCCCTTCATAGGACTCATAGGCTGTGAAACTTGACAACTTTAAAGAGAAACCAAGCTCTAAACAGGAGATTGGGAGTCCTTCTGACCACCATGGCCAATTCTCTTTCTGATTTCATATTTTTGAGTGGGGCTTGACATCCAGTACCTTTGAAAACCATTGACAGATCTGCACTTCTTTCACCCAGGAGCTGATCTAGGTGTCACGGCCCTCTGTGCTACAAAAGCAGACATTTAGGAGGGTGAATGAGAGATCAGGGAAGACCATTGATTAACAGACCTTGGACAAAGCTACTGGGGGCTCAGGGGCCTAAAACAAAAATTACAGTCTCCTGGGGAGAACCCTTGTTTGTCTGCTTTGTGCTTGAGTCACAAAACTCTGGATATTAGGAGTACAAATGTCACCATCTTTCATTAGACTCATATGGCCCACGTAAAAGGCCATTTCGGGACCCCTGCAGCTTCATGGTTCATGGTAACCCTCCAAGAACTGTACTGTAACTGCAGCAGACCTATGATGGCACTGACACAATGGTTTTCTGCCTCCCACAAGCTTTAAAATGCATCTGCCAGAAAGGGGAGGGAAAAAAGAAGAGTACAAGTGAAGCAATACTTAAACCTAAGCAAGGACTGGGACAGTGGGTCCTCAGCTCCAACCGTAACCAAAGGCCAAGCTGAGAGCCCAGGCCCCACCATCATCCACTTTCTCAGTGCAGGTTAATACTGCCCTGTGTGGACATAATATCCTGGAAACTGGACCTAAAGCAAAATGTCAGAAGGCACCAGTTAAAGCACGGCAGAGCCACATTATACCAGTGCTCTGGGTTGATACTGTGCAGCACCAGGTTACCAAGCCTCAAAGGCTGGTTTTGGTACCATCTGAGCTAAGGGGACACTGTCCTTTGGCCCCCAAGGGGAAATAAATGATGTCCCCATCTGTGCTTATTTTCTTTTCTTTCTACGAGTAGAACTGTCTATGCTGATGTGAATGAGTAAAGCCCCAAATGGTTTCAAATCTTTGTCTGCTGAGTAGTGTTCTTGTTGTTCAGCAATTTAGGACAGTACAGCAAATGTGCACTTGAGTACATGGGATAAATCCAGTAAGGCACAGAATCTCTTGGAAGTTCATGTACTTCCAAGTGAATGGAGTATTGAAGAAACTCTGAGTAGTTCCACTCCAGGACAGCTGAACTACTTGATCAGAGCTTCACATCCAGCGCAGGGACCCAATATGAAAATGCTGTCCCATCTTTTCACATGCTAGCTTTGCCAAGGGTCCTGAAAAGGCCTTGAAAAAATAGCACCACATCATAATGGCAGCCAGCAAAAAGGAATGAAGAACACAGGTGGCCAGAAATGAAGGGTTTGGTCATGTTTTGCTGCCATAAAACAGAAAGACAGATGAAAGAGTTTGTAAAGCGGGAGCAATGCCACTGAAGAAGGTGGAGTTACACTGGAGTAAAATTTGCTCCGTAGAGAAAGCAATGTGGGAGCAGAGCCAATCTACTTAGTAGATGTGGCCACCACATTTCCATTTATTTTAAATACCCTTTTAACCTATAAACATAATACTTGTAAGTGTTCTGGGGATTTTCTGCTCATTTCCAGGGGTTTATTTGAATGCTTTGATGTGTGTTGCAGAGCCACAGGGCATCTCCTGGGAGACTCCGGTGGAGGGCACAGTGAAGGGGGAGTCTCTAATAGAGACAGACTTGGGAGAACAGCCCCAGGAGCAGGAAAAGCACCAAGTGCAGCTAAAACTAACCATTGAAGATTTTGTCCTGCACAAGATGCTGGGGAAGGGCAGTTTTGGCAAGGTAAGCATCAGAGGACTAGATGCTACTCCATAGGTCTGCATATTGTTTATTATGGCACTAAATAGCATGTGGTTTCAAGGCTACTTAGGAAAAAACATCTCCAAGCCCTCAAAGAACCCTCGTTCTGGCATGGCTGAGTCTTGAACGTAGTCTTCTCCTTGCCTAAGACAAAGATCTTCCTTGCCCTTCCCTCTACCCCTTTGTTTGCTGTCTCATGAGTGCCCAAGACAGGAGAGGAAAGCAGCTAAGTAAAGCTGCAGCTTCCCCTTCTGTGCAGGTTGATGGAGTCTGGGCATCCACAGAGAGCTAGTGGGAAAGATCTCTGTGCTGTCCCCCTTCATGCAGCTACTCCTGCCAACCTAGCTGAGCAAGCTTGGAGGCAGGCAGGAGCATTAGCTGAAAAGTTGAGTGTGGATCACCTCCCCTCTCCAGAGCAGCAGGTCCCCAGCTGGGAATGCTAACTGCTCTTTCCCAGCTCCAATCTGTGCTGGAGCGTAAAGCAAATTTTGCAACAGCCAAGAATTTGTGCTTTTGAAACAAGAACCACCTGTTTTCAGTGGATTCATTAATCTTGATGAATTGTGGATTGTTCCTCCTTCTTGCAGATGTCCCCTGGAAGGGGACTCATGTTATTCAGTGCCAGTGCAGAGCTGCATGAAGCAATTTCAGAGGAACTCACCACTGTATTTTCACAGCCAATAAGGAGAATGAGTATCATTATGTATCACATTGCTCAGATCCCACATCTTTCCAAGGTGGAAACTGTGCCTTAAAGAAGGGCTGCTTTTTGCCTGCTAAGTGAGCTGGAGCAATAGCTGCAGCCAATTCTTAAACTGGTGAAATATTTGCTGTGTTGGCTTTCCATACTTGAAAATACTTGGCATGTCTACAGTTTGCATGGGAAGCAGAGCTGAGGCATCTCAGTTAGAACTAAGCCAGAACACCCCAAAATCCAGAGCCCTGGACTCAAGAGCACAGATGTCATAGAAACATTTATGTTGGAAGGAAGGGACCTCTGGAGGTCATCTAATCCAACCTGCTGCTCAAAACAGGTCTAATCAGATGAGGTTGCTCAGGGGTTTGTCTAGGCAAGTCTTGAATACCTCCATTGAAGCAGAATCTGTACCTTGCTTCAGCCCCCTGTGTGAACATGGACCCTCTAAGCCTGCAGGCATCTACATCTCTCTGCAGTGCACCATGTGGGTGTGGAGAGGATGGGCTATTTCATGCCCTTCTGCAACAAACGTCACCCACAAGTTTCCTATGTAGGTGTTGCTCCTGGTGCCCTTATTTGCTTGGAGCGTGATTCACTTCCCCACAGAGGGGACAGGGTGTGCAGATCTCTGTGCCTGAGGGGTCTCTCCAGCTCTGCATGGACCAGGGAGGTTGAGGGCCAGACCTGTGACAAAGGCCCCTCTGCATGAGGTCTAGCATTGCCTACCTGCACCTTGGAAGCCACAGGACAAGTCATAAATGTACTGTGTTCTCCAGTTTCCCCGGGAGAACAGTGCCCTGCACAAAAACTGGGGTAAAAAGGGTGCCTGCAGCATCAGCACTGTTAGCATTTCTGGTCATTCACTGCAGAGACAGAGGGAGGCTCTAGGATCTACTCTCTGTCTAGTGCTACAAAGTGAAATGCAGCAGTAGCCAAAAGGGAAAATAAAACTTTTGTCAGGACTAAAACGTGTCTGAGCTTACTCAATAAATAGTGTCTGGTAGAGAACTTCAAAGACCTCTTTGATGAATCTTACGTATTTATTCAGTCTATGGGAAACAGCGTTGACAGGCTGTTAGCGTAAAGATCAGGACTGGCACTGCCTTCCAGTGGAGGCTTCTTTGCTCTGTGGTCTCTAGAAAACCCTTCTCTGCTGCTCCACGTCTCATTTTCCCTGCCCATAAAAACAGATAGAGGTCCTAACTCCTCTGGGATGTGTTTTGCTCTTCTCAGAGAAGTCCTGCAGAAGCACAGGGGACCCAGCCTGTTTGCTCAGGCCTCCTGCTAACTGGGAGGAAGGGGAGAAAGTCACATCTGATATAGATCAGTCTAACTACTGGTGGACATCAGTTTACACCTGCTGAAGAACTGGTGAAGGGCATTTGCATTTCACATGTTGACAAAGCAACATTCTATGTTTTGTTATTTGAAGTCAGAAAACAGGAAATGTATCTCATGAGCATTTGCATAAAGATGGTTTCTGTTATCAGAAGTGTTTGGCTCTCTGACATGTCCTGTCCATATGCGCATGTAACCCCTGCTCTTGTAACCACCAAGACCCTTCTCATCCTTCCCCGGGGTTCAGCTTCATAAAACTATTCTGGGTGTGGGGAACAAACTCAAAGTCTACAAGGTCTTAATGGCAGAATTAGGCTTTAAACATCAGCTTTTTTAAGGTCTACCCTAGTGAATTCCTCAGAGCTCAGTTCCCATCCTCACACTGTTGCCAGCTCTGAGAGAAAAGCATTGCTCTTTCTGAGCAGCTGTTTCCACCCTAGGTGTTCCTCGCCGAGCTGAAGAGCACAGACCAGTACTTCGCCGTGAAAGCCCTGAAGAAGGATGTGGTGCTGATGGATGATGATGTTGAATGTACGATGGTGGAGAAGAGAGTCCTCTCCTTAGCTTGGGAGCACCCATTCCTCACTCATGTCTTCTGTACGTTCCAGACCAAGGTAAGACAAGGATCTGTCACCTTCCTCCACGGGCTGAGGATGCTTTGCTGAGATACAGATACTTGGTGAAGTGCTTAAGTCTCCTGGATGTTAGGGAATAGCTTGAACATGAGGTGGTGTTAAGGGAAGGGATCTTCAGGTTAACCACTTGGGAAATGGCTCTAGAAATTTCATCTGCCTTCCTCACATTAACCTGGGGGTGCATTTGAGGATTATGGCATCCAAGGCTGACTGATGTGGCTATGCAGAGACCCACTATTAAAATCTGTGTCCTGGTACCCTGGGCCAAGGATGTGCAAAGGCCACATCCACAGCCAGGGTGCAGATGTGCCCACACTGATGTTATCTGAATCTCTTGAACCATGAAGTGGTATGCTGCAGTGACTAGCCTGGATCAGAGCTAACTCAAGAAACTCTCGTTATGGAGAATAAACATGCCGTCATTCACATTGGGAATCTTCTTTGCCCCCAGTTACTGTTAAATTACATCAGATTCTTCCTAATTCATGCAGGACCACTGGTGGTGAAGGCTGCAGTTCAGAGGGGCAGCACAAAGTATCTTCATCTGAAATCCTGCTTAGGACTCCAAACCAAAATTGAAGTGACATTTATGTAATGTATATACCTTCATGGCCCTACATGGCAACAAACCACCAACTGATTAGCTTTCCAGAACCTTTTCTACAGCCACAACCAATCATCTTAACACTAAAGCACACACAAGGCACAGAAAAAAATGGTGGAAGGAAATTTGAGAGATTGTCTTGTCTGTCCAACCTACTCAAACCACTCCTGAGAGGTGTTTGCTATCCCAAAGCTCAAGTTCAGAGGAATATCACTTTCTCAAGGCTGCTTGTTCAGGGTTTTGTTAGGACGCTCCCAGTCTCCATTCAGTCTCAGGATTTAGTGATGCAACATACTGCTCGGTATGAGTTTAGGATCTGCTCAGCAAGAGGCTTGCTGCCTCTGCAGGCTCAGGAGAAACAAATATAACCTCTGCAGTATATCCCAGTCACCCGTGGGATGTAGCACCTGTTTAAAGACAGATTAAATTTATAACAGGGAACGTCTGTGAACTACCGTAGGCGATGTGACACTAAGCCCAGGCTTCATGTTTAACCCCTTCAGGACTGTGAGTGAGGACAGCATGTCCTGGGAATGGATCCTTGCCTGGAGAGGAAAGGAATTAATTCTCTTTTTTTTAGGCTAGATTTCAGAGGAAAATATAAATGACCCAACTCCAAAAGCAAAGAAAAACAAGACTTAATTAAAAAATATTAAAAATAATTAAAAATATTCACAACAGCCACAGCTCTACGAGGGAGCTTATACTCCAAGGAGAGCCCTTTGTGCTGCCTGTGACTCCAGGTGCCCAAGCAGAAGTTGACTAATGCCAGCAGCTGACTTGCATGCAGCAGCAGAACCGCGTTGTCTGTGGTCCAGCCCTAGTCCAATGCTGGTCTGGAAGCCGAAGGTCAGGTTCGGGATAGATACAGCAGTGGCAGTCTGCAGCTCTGGTTTCAGGCAGTGCATGCATGCAAGTGTCCACTTCCCTCATGAGACCACAGCAAAAAGATGAAAGACTGAACGGAGTCATGCCAGGAGCCAGATGGGATTTACTGACCATTTAAGGGGGGGGACTGTGCTTCCAGCTGTGGCTGGGGCAAGGAAAACCTGCAGGATGGAAAAGCAATAAGTGCCTGAAAAATTCATGGGTGCCAGGCTCAAAAACTCAAGTGATCTTTTCCTACACTGTCTCATGGGCAGTATCACAGCATTGCCCTTTTGACATATGGCAAGAATCTCCATCCATCTCATCTCAAGTCAACATTGCCACTTTAAAGTTATTTGATCTCTCCATTTTGCCCTCAAGTTCACAGATACAGAAGCTGGAACGTGGCTGCCCAGGCCAAAGCAGCTCTGGGATGTGATTGATTTCTAGCTTATGTTTTTCTCCTCTGACCTTTGCAAGCCAAGCGGCGATTGCTCAATGCATGAAAATCATTCAGAGCAGGAGAGCTGTGACAAGCCATGGACAGTCTTCCACAGCTCAAAGGACAGCGTAGTTCAGTCGTAATATCTTTAGAGCAATCATTTTAGAAGCCAGGGCACTGCTGTGTAGTCCCTCTCTGGACTTTAATATTGAAAACTTGAATTTTCAATTGAAAAAAAAAAATTTTTAAGGTTTCACTGGATAGATAAGTAGTTTCAAACAGAAATGCATGTGTCAATGCTGTCCTGAATCTCTAACGCTTTGACTTGCAACGTTTCTGAGCTGCTTCAGGTACTGAGTGCCTCTGCAAAGGACAGGAAAAACAGGAATATTCCTACACTGAAACAAGAACCTCAGTAGTCCCCATACCTCCAGAGGGAAAAAAAGTCATATAATCTGCTGACAGTTCTCTGAGCTCTGGGATGAGTTTCTTCCTGGTCTCAACCCAGGTAATCAGTGAATGTTGAAATACATAAAGCTTGACAGCCCTTCAGACAGGTTTTTGTAGGCACCAGGCACCTAATGCTCCTTTTTATTCTTGCAGAGGCTGAATGATCAGTGCTTTTGAAACTCAGAATACTTGTCATGTTTTCCTACATGAGGATAAATTCAAACACGTGGGGTTTTTTTTCCTGATCTGTTTTTGAACTTGACTGTTTTATTTTACTGCAGTAATCTTTGCATCCAGATATTCAGCTGACATAATTATATGGTGTGAATTTTAACAACAAGCTCAGAGAGCTGTTCTGTTGTATTAGATTTAAAGGGACACTGTTATGTTAAAGAGGAGGAAAAACATGTTTATAATTCTGTGAAATCCCAAAATTAGTAATGCCAAAACATAACATCCTAGTGCTTATGTTTTATTCTTCTTTTTGCATTTCACTGATCTTCTGTGATAAAAATAAGCCTTCCCTTTTTGAAAGCGACTTTTGTTTCTAACTGTTTCTTTACTTCATTGATCAAATTTTTATTCACAGCCTTTACCTAAATGCAAATTAAGTCCTTAGGCATTTTGGCTTGCAGCACAAGATAGCAACACAGAAGACTATCTCAACCCAAAAGAGAAGTAATCTTTATTGCAATTTAAAAGGAAATCTTACAGAAACATGTCTTTTCTTGCTTTACTAATGTATTGTATCATTTCAAACTCCCGGTGGTGAGCCATTTTCACATGCTCTGTTGTTTTAATGTGCTTAATACTGACTTTAAAATCTCTTACATTGTCAGGAAGGAGAAAAGGATTGTAAATAAGGACCGTGATCCCAATTTAAAAATTCTTAGGTTCTTAAGTGTTTTCCATGAGTATTTTCAGGAGATTTCTCATTAAAATATCTCCTCGGAGGAAACTGCAATTCCTGCAAGATTTTCCAAGGGCATTTTCAGTTTTCTTCTATCTTTGCCTTGCCATTAGAGGGATGGGGATGAATTACTTGACCTGAATTGGAGTGTATAGGTTGGCACATGCATGTTTCACACCCATTCGATGTTCAGCTCCATTGCCTGGCTGTGCCACGGACCTTCTGAGCAGCCCTGTATCAGGCCCATATACCCTCCCCAGGCAATTCAGGATCCTCTCTGACCACAGCATGGCTGCAGGATGCTGATGCATTGCAAGAGAAGTGACCCTGCAGGGAGGTGAGGTTGCAAGCCTTGACTTCCAGCACTGCCAAACCACTGAAGCACAACAAAATATTGGACGGACTAAACTAAAGGCACAACAAAAATCCTGGTCACAGGATGAGGCGTCCTATGAGGTCAGACCTGATATCTTTCTAGCCAGCATCCAGTTTTTGGCATTGACCAGGAAGGAAGGGTAAGGAAGGGAGTACAGGGCAACAGAGTGATTTTTTGCTTGCACAAACCATCCCTTGCATTGGTGTTCAGCCATTTGGGAGACACGATCTTGAAGCTTCAAGGTTTCTAGGTCTCCATCCTCCTAGTATTTTGTGGGGGATAAGTCAGCTTGGAAACGGCTGATTCAAGGCTAGTTGGCCAAATTTGAGCCAGCTGATGGGAAAGCTGGGGAAGAACTGGGAAGTTTAAGGAGGCTTTGAGGATTTTACCTCTTGCAGCCAGCAGACAGGAAAGATGGCAAGGTCTCATTCAATCCTGGCCAAAATTTCAACGTGGTTCAGTAGAAATAGCAGTGTCTCAGCAGAGCTTTGGGATTTCAACAAGGTTCTGCCAGAGAAGGTGTGAGCAGCTGTAATTATAACATCAAAAAAATGAAGTCTTTACAAGACACTTCTAGGTGGTGTCAGCCCATGTGGTATGAACAGGTGGAGTGCACTGACAAGGAAAAGAGGGGGCCAGCTCACAAGAATAGTTTTTTTAAGTGATAGAAGATTGACATATTAAATATACATATTCTAATTGCCTTCCTGTTGTCCAGCTCTGAGGAAAATCAGCCCAAAATGCATTCAGCTTTGCCTGAGATTTCTAAAAGTCTGCTGTGTAGCTGCTCTTTGTCCTGAAAAGAATTTGACTTCTTAAAATAAAAACATTACTTTCTCCCCCTGTTTTTCAGCTGATAAAATATTTATGTTTCATAAAGTTCACTACTTTTTGGGTTTGGTCTGGTGATTTTTTTTTATCCCCAAATTTTCACAGAAATTTTTTCTAGCCTTGAGAAAATTAGTCTCTTTCCAAGATCCCACGCAATACTGATAGGGAAAACCACTTTCTCTTGCAAGACAGGGCTGATAATAACTCAGTTTACCACTGTGAGTGATGTACTCTGCCTGCTCTGAGCTGTGATGAAGGGTCCTGGGATCTCAGAACTCAAGTGAAAGGAGCTATTGCCAGCCATGTCTGCACCTTTATGTACACATATGTATTTTTATATATGTGTATAAATATATTCATATGCTTTCTACCAAGTAGATGGGCACACAAAGCTAAGCGTCCCAAATGAGCAGTTTAACATGCAGTCAAATATGCTGACAGTGGAAAGACTAGAACAAAAAATAAATCATGAGATCAGGGACGGACTGAATTATTTGACAGCTGTAAGAAATGCTGCCATCTCCAGAAGACAGACTGATATTACACAAGCAGGAAAAAAAAAAGTCTTTAAACCAGAGAACAAAATTAACCTAGGGTTGCTTTAATCTGTAACAAATTAGCTTTGCTTGTCCCCAGATGGTGCAAATAGCAATGTTAATACCTCTTATGGTCACCTACTAGCAAGGGGTGACCCTGTGTTAGCTGTTCCTCATGGGAGCAGACACAATGAGGAGCACGTGCATTGCTTGCTTTCCCACTGGATGGGATGCTGTGATGGGACTGCAACACTCAGTGGATGGTGGGGTGGAGAAGGGCTGAGAGGCCTTTGGCTCCCATCTGTCCCATGAAATAAAATAGATCCAAAGCATGGATGAGCACCCAGACTGGGCTGGGCTGAGCTTCATGAAAATGTGAGACAAGAATCAGCTGCAGAAGACAAGGATCAGCTGCAGGAATTGCGTGGTGTCAAACCTTTCTCTTGGCAAGGGCCAAACCTAATTCAATGGGCATGCAGTGGGGTTAGGTCACTAAATGTGTATTGTGAGCCTTCTCCATATGGAGCCATTTGCTAGAGTAACTGCTCTAAATAAGGGTAAAGCCACACAGTCCTGCAGCATTAATTATTCCGATATTCATCCTCCTGGAAGCCCTGGGAAGAAGAATTTTTGCTCTTCAGTAAATGCTGTTAAATTGTGTATTTGTATGTATGCAAGTGCTTTCAAATGCAAAGAAAACAAAATCTGAAAATCTCTGCAGAAAAGTGCTCTGGAGGGCTTCCAGCTGGTTTGAGGATTTTAAGAGCCTGTTATAGGATGTACCTTCAAAAAAGATCAATTTAAATGCTGCCTGCTTTATACTCATTGTTTATAAAGTTGAAAGCATCTCCGATAGTGACTATTCATTCTCACAGCAGTTGCATTCAGAACAGAAGCAGGTTGGTTTAACTCCATCCCTGCCGTGTGCTGGAGAGGCAGAGGGAGGAGGTGGCTCTGCAGAGAGGAGCTCAGCTCAGCACAGGCACTGAGGGACTCATAGGGCAAGAAATTGAATTCTTGCACTAATCAAGTCTTTCAGCACCTGGCAGGATTGAGTCAACTAGGGAACAATGTTATTTTGTGTGCAGGATGCACACCTGGATGTGTCTGTGTTGTACAACATCATGTTGTACGGTTCTGTCTGCTGTAGGAAGGGCGTTTCATCCACTCGCAGAGGGGTTTGTCATGTTCCCTCTGCTGCAATGGAGAAGGCCCCTGGAAGATGATCTAGAAGTAGGGAATGGCCGATATATGGATGTCCACAAGACAACTAGTGCCAACTGCCCTGGGGTGGTGTCCACCACTGAGTGCAGGAAATGCCTTTACAGTCCTCCTTGAGCTCTGTGGTTGTAAAAGATGGCCCCAAACTCTGTCAGGAGACCAGACTTATTCTCTTCTGTTGTGCAAGTCTGGAACCATGACCAGAAGTTTGACTTCAGTGTTTGCTACCCGAGGATGCTCTCACGGGAGGTCAGCAAGTTGTCTGTCATCTGTCTGCAAGGCAGACAGGCAGGGCAAAGCTGAGGGGCCCTTCCCAAGCCTCCTTCAGAGCTGTACAGGTCTCAACACTGAGGAACAGCATTCCTATTTGTTTGCTTAGCATCCCTGAGCTAAGACTGTCATAGGGGATAAAGGCATGATAAAGTCATGCCATCCCAGCTGCCACATCTTGAGAAATACCCATTTAACCCACTTGTACCTGCTCCAGGTGCTGACAGACTTCAGAGCCTGGCAGTAGCAGACAGGAGCCATCGGATAACTTTCCCAGGACAAAAGGAAGTGTAGGTCGGAGCCTGTCTGCAAACACGTCCTCTGTGCCATTCTAACCCTTTAACCTCTAGCACACTGTTGAATTTTCAGTAGTTTCAAGCACGGGTGTTGCCACTTCCCATTTTTAACGTTCTACGGCTTTGTAGATCTCAGTCTTAAGAAGCTGTCTCCAATAATTGGTTGCAGCTTGCACTGCTTGGTTACATCTTGGAACTCATAATTATGTACTTAGGGCTGATCTCAAGCAATTTTTCTCCACGGACTCTTCCAGACAACTGACCTTTGTGAAAAGCAAGGGGAATTTCCAAGTCTCAGAGCAGAAAACTCAGGGTGATGCCATCTTTCTTTTCAACAGCATTTATGTACCACTCTGTAGCACCTGGTAGACCATGAACTTCGGTATTAATCATGCCTAAGTCAAGTTTGTATTCTTCAGCTTCATAGCTTTAGACAGTTGAGCAACTGAGTTCATAAAATGATCTATGGATGCCAATTAATCTGAGAGGTTGTCCACCTTTTCTTTCCTTAGATGGCAGAAGGATGCTGCCAAAGTCCCCAGTTTCAAGTTAGAGTCCCCAGTTCAATTAAATAGGTGCATCAGATGGTTGCTCAAATCCATGAGCAAGCAGAATATGACGGCTGAATAAACATGGACTTCAAGTTACGCTTAAAGATGTGTGATAAGGTGTAGCCAAACTCAGTGGACTTCCCAGGGAAAACCAGGGGTTTTCTGCTTCCCAGTCCCATTGAAGCTGAGTCTGGTCCATTTGAAAACCCATGAGGTTTCTTTTGTCCCAGTGTGATACATGCGGCTGCTCTTCTGTTGTTAGCTAAACCTTGTCACATCCCTGTGTACCTTCACAAAGAGCATCTGTTCAAGTGTTTTGCTGAATGGGCTCCTGAGCTCACATTGCTTCCAAGATTTATGCATTTCTGTACTAAATTCCCCATCTCCATTTGGCCTTCTTACTTGCTTAAACTGACTTATGTGCACAGACCTCTACAGATGCAATACCTTCAAACTGAAAACCTGCACCCATTTGGTTTATTGGCAAAATTTGTATTCTTTCCCTGGGAGGCCAGATCTGGCCCTGTGCTTGTTGGATGACAGGTGGGCTTTCCAGCCAGACATCCATTTAAATAAGAGTACTGTAATTAAATGGATCTGGCTAAAGAAATTACACAAATTAGAGCAGACAGCTGTTATTTGAAAGGAACAAACAGTGTTGGTTTTTTAAATAGCCAGATCTTGGCTTGCTGCCAGAGATGCTTACATTAGATCTTATGGATAAAAATCTTCCTTTGACTGTTAAAAATATAAGTGAAAAGAACTCTGTTTCTCCCTGAAAAAAATTGTGATGGGCAATACGCAATAAAGGGAAGATACTCATAAACTTCAACACAGCCTGGAGATGACTAACTTCAGATGTGTACAGAACAGAGAGAGGCTTTGAGGAAAAAAAATACTACATCCCTGCATTTATGCACAAAAGCTGAAATTCCTGAAACAGAAGTTTAAACTAGGAGCATATTTTATTGCACAGATACTCTTCTTCCAGAAAAAGGCACCCCTCCTGCTTTGTAGGTGCAATTCAATGTGGAAGGGATTGGTCTGAATCAGTCTCCAGCTTCTGTGGGGGCCTGGTGGTGAAGTTATGGCTCATGAAGCAACAAGGAGATCAATGTGGTGTACAGCAGGGACTGGAAAGGAAACCTTGATGATCTGTTCTGCTCTTCATTCAATACAGCGATTCCCCCCATCCTTCCTATGTACCAGGAGGAGAGTTTTCCACTACCCTGGTAGAAGAGCTGATGGTTGCATGCAACTGGGGACAAGGACCGGATCTTTTTCCAGTCTTCTCTGACATGCAAGCACTCAATGGGCATCCAGAAATATGATTAATTCATGAATCTTCCCACTAGCAAGTTACATCCTGCTTTATTTAACAGAGCAGCTCCCAGGCTTAAAATCAAGCGTCTGCTTAAAACAGGTTGCAGCATCTGGCCGATGTCTCTAATAACTTGTGAAGGTCAGACCCATGTGCCTCCACAAAAGATGTGCAGGAATTCGTAAGACCAGCTTGAGATCACTCCACTGGATGGACAATGCACTGGGCTGGGGACCAAAGGAGACCTGGGATTTACTTCTGCCTCTCCCACTAGTTCCCTAGGAAGTTTGTTCATCTGCCCTTCTGTAACACTGGCACTGCAGAGTCACTCATCCCCTTCTAGCAAGCCTTGAGGTCTACTGGTAAAAATCAATGGCACCAGCTGGTTATTAAGTGGATTTGCAATGTTTGCTAATGCTGTTTATACAAGTCAGAGCAGAGAGGGTGAATACAGGCTTAGAGAACAAAGGAGAAATGAGGAATCTAAAAAAGAAATTGCTTTCTTTCCAAAACCCTCACTGTAATCTTTTCCTTCCTCTTTTTAAGTGCTTTCTGGGTGGGGGTTTTTTCAATTTTATCTTGCCCTTCCCCAGCCCTTATTGTCATCTTGTCTCATTCTCTAGGAAAACCTGTTTTTTGTGATGGAATACCTCAACGGAGGAGACCTCATGTTCCATATCCAGAGTTGTCACAAGTTCGACCTTCCCAGAGCAACGTAAGATGTTATTATTACCTTTTGACTTGCAGGTCACACACATGGTAGAAGCAAAGGCAGCAGCTGGAGACACCAGGAATCTTCATTTTATTCCCAGCTCTGTTACTGTTCTGTAGAGGAAACCTTGGGCAAATCATTTGACCTCTCTGCACCTTACCCAGCTGCAAAGTGGGGATAATGCTTGTGCTGGAAGCAGAATCACTTTCTAGCCCAGCTCTCTCCAAACGGAACAGAACAGACATGCAGGTCGTCACCCTGACTCAAGATAGACTTGGAGCAAGTAACTTCCTCTTCCTGTCCTCTTTCCCCTCCCACAGAAGGCTTTTTAGAGCCCATCCACACAGCTGATTTCAGTCAGATGTGACCTTGCTTTGCATTCTTGGTCAACCAGGGAAGCTATTTCTGTCTGGAAGCGTTACAAATGCTGCTGCACCCTCATCAGCATTGCATCTGCCTGCAAGCTCATCCTTTAGCTTGCAACCAGGGACTTCCTTCCAGCCTGTGACCTGGCTCCTGTATTTTGCACTAACCTCAGCATAGCCCCACAAACATTTCTTCAGAGCCGAGAGCTGAGCTGGATAGAAGCTGTCCCTTAGGCTGCCCTGCTTCTGGATCAGTCCCCTTCCCAGGACTGCAGTCCCTCAAACAGAGAGGGGCTCCAGAGGGACCATTCAATCCACCTGAGATCTTACCTCTGGAAGTGCCTACACTCTCTATAAACAGCCCTAAGCATGCCTAAGACCTTGTTTACATGGCCCATGGATGAGGGTCATTTTAAAGAAACCTACAGGTGTCTGCTGTGAATTACAGCAGCCCTGGGGTTGCTCTTTGTTGTATTCATGGAGTTCTTGCTCAGCCCATAATTGGAGGCTACAATAATGACACGGTGAATCCAACCTCCACTCCAGATTTCCCACCATCAAAGAAAACCCACAAATGCATTTTCAGCCATCTGTGGAACCAAATATATTGTTCTTTACAACACTGGGTGGCCTGTAGCCAAGCTGCAGGACCTGCTTAAGCTGAGGTTCCTGGTCCAGTGATCCGAGGTGAAGCTGTTGTTTGTTAGAAGTAATGGGATTTTCGCTTTTTCCCTTTAAGGTTCAAGGGTGGGGGGCGGTGGAAGAGGTAAAACCTATCAAAAGTGCAAAAGGTAAATTTAAATAAAAAATTAATACACCAACAGGGAGTTAAAAATTTATTTCACTTTGATTAAAATAAATAGAAGAATTAGAATAAATGAAAGGTGCTTTTAATCTTTCTGCAAACAAAAGGTATTTTAAAAGTCAATTTTGAAACCACTATAAAAATTAATTTTTATTTAATAATTAAAAATAAAAAGTCATTTAAATCAGTGGTTAATTTGATGATTTTTTCAAAAGCATTTGAATGTTCAGAATTAAGGGTCAATGCACTGAAGTCTGAGGGAGCAGAGCTGTATAACAAGAGGGGCATACAATCCTGCAGTTATATTCCCTTCTGGGAGAGCACTTTCATTGTGCAATGGTGCTTCAGCCTTATGCTGCCTCTTTACAGCAGGATGTGGTGGTGTCCTTTAGGCAGAAATATGTTGAGAACAAAGATCTCGAACTCAAAAAAGACTGCAGAGAAAGGCCACCAAGCTGCTAGCTAGTTCATATCTTGGATAACATTTCAAGAGCAAGTCATAAATATGAGCAGCGAAGAGGTCTGTTTGACAAGCCAAGGAGACTGTCTGTGGTCCCCAAACCCAGATGCCCACCTGCCTGTCCCATTGCTGGGACCACTCCACTGTTTGTGCAGCAGCTACTGAACACAGCAAATTATAGCTGCTCTTTTGAGGTCTGAGGCATTAACTGCAAGTTGCAGTTTGCAGTGTGGTGCACCACTGTAACTCATTGATTTACTTTAAATATGTAAATAAGGAAGAGGCACACACACCACCTGGTCTGCCTTCTTTGCAAGAGAGACTATATCCTGAGGCAAGGCAGGGTAGGCAGTAGGAGCTCGGTGGTGGTTTTTTGCTCCACAGCTGATCTGGAGACATCCTTGGGCACTGAAGGACATGTCTTCAGAGTCAGTGACATATAAATAAATGCAGCTAGCCATGCAGTGTGGCTTCCAGATCCCTGAAGATGAGTAGACTCCAAATCCCTACCATTTTGCAAAGTGGTTTCAGTGGGAGTTGGGCTGTTAGCCATGTGGCATGCTTTTGGGAATCTCACATCATCCATCAGTTACCTGTAAAACCGAGTTACCCCAAGCCTCCTGGAGACACTCCAAGCCTTCTGGGAATTTAATGAAATTTTGGCTCCTGTGGAGACAAAGCTTCCACCTTTTTGGGTCTAGTTGAAAGCACCTGTTGGGAAGCATCCATTCTAACTTGTGCCTTCTGTCACTCAGGTTTTATGCTGCTGAAATCATATGCGGGCTCCAGTTCCTCCATTCCAAGGGCATAATATACAGGTAATTTTACTCTTTAGTATCTAATATGCTAAACCTTTTCTGCTTTCCTTGCAAGCACTAATGGTAACTGAGAGACTATTGCTTGGATGTATTTACTGGTATTGCATTTCTATGCAGATTTCCTTTCTACAGAGTCTGGCTGTTTTATTTTGAAGAGATGGTGTAGAAAAGGCAGTTTTGAGCTCTTTTTGAGAATGCAGTCCTATTTCAGTTAACATTAAAACAAGCCCTTTGATGCATTTACACTGAGTCACTCATATAGCACCCAGCATAGGCATTCAGTTTAAGCTTTCCATGTATGAAGGTACATAAGGTCAAGCTAGCCATGAGAAATTTGGTATAGCTGCTGTGCTGGTTAACCTGGGACAGTGGTGACAAGCTCAGCTCAAGTAACAACAGCAGGGAGACAGTGATATACCTTAATTTTTGAGTTATTAGCAGGTCTGCTGTGCACAGTTCCATGGGGAGATGGGATTCATCTCGCCCACCATCATGAATCTGAGCTAGCTGCCCAAGCTCTTCTTGTAGTAAGCAGAGAGGAGTGGGCTTTTTTAGGTTCATCAGACCTGTGTTAGAGTGTGTATGAGAAGTGTCCATTTCTACTAGAGGGCTCTACAACAAGCTGATGGGGCCTAGGTGGGACACTGCAGGCAGCTGCACTCAGACTGTTACTGGTATGAACCTAGTCCACAATGCATCAATCTGTCAAATCCCAAGGAGGAGAAGTCCTCTACTACAAAATTGCCCATTCCAGCTTCTGCTTGACTTCTTCAAAGTTATGCAGGGATGCTTTGATCTAATGCACAAGTGATGTGCTTCAGACTTATATACAAGGACAGAGACAAGATGCGAGCAAGAAGGGCTGCAGAAATCAGGCCACAGTCTGCTTTCCTGTGGCCAAAAGGAGGAACCGAATTTCTGGGGAGCTCTAGTCCAGCTCATCTTCATGGAAAAATTTAGTTAGTACATTGCAGCTTTCTGTAAAAGCAGGAAGCAAATAGCTTGTCACAAACAAATGAGAAAGCTCACTAAAGCAACAATGTTTGCTGAAACCAAAATGAGCTTATTTCAATGTTTGTCATGTAGCGTGAACATTAGAACAAACGCTAAAAGTGAATGGCTTGTTTACAATCCACTCTCCCATTAAAACACACGCTTTGATTCATATAAACTTGCCTTATTATTCATTATTAGTGCTCATGTGGGAGCCGTTTATAGTCTTTATTGACCAATGATGGTGATTGCATAAACATGAGATCAATATCAATGGCATTAAGCTAAGATGATCTCTGGGGTCTCAGCAAGTTTCTGGCTCTAATTATTGTTCTGGATGACTGAAGGGAAACATTTTCTGAAGTGCCCAAATCACTTAGCCACGTCTGTCATTTTTACTCAGACTTCTCAGAAATGTTGACTAAAAATATCTGCAGGACATTGTGAGTTTGTGGCAGGACTGTTAATGCTGGCATTTTGTTTATAATTCACATTTTTATTTGGAATTGGTACACCAGTGGTGTGTCAGGGTTTGGGACCCATTTCCTCATGAAAGGAGAGAGACGTTAAGTGTCTGGAGCCTTGGGAAATGTGGGCAAATTGGGATAACTAGACATTGGGTAGCATGGTGATAGGAAGAAATAGCTCATTCCCAGGAATCAGTGCAGCATTGCTTTGGGCATCAAGCTTGGCAAGAAAAGATTTAACCAGTCCTACAGCTTTTTCCTTTTTTCATTGAAGACAATGACAACGAGGTCAGTTGAGAACACACAGCCATCAGTATCTCAGAGCTAACTAACCACTTCGGAAAGTGAATAGAAATCATTTTTGAAACTACACCACTTGCGATGTAGTAAGAATAATGAATCCAGCTGTTCTGTTTCATGCACCCATGTTTGGAAATGTTAGCTTAGATTTTAATGAATGAACTGAGGCGTTTTTGGCAGAAACTCCAATCCCTGGAGCCAATGAGTTTGAGACTCATCAAAATAATGAAAGCGAACTGTAGGTGATGGGTTTTTTGTTTTGCTTCGATCTATCAGATGAATAAAAGCAGTGCTGGCAGCCAGAGATTGATCTCAATGGTGTAACTAAAATAAGTCATTCCAGCTGGAAATTGTGACAACATGAGTGTCTGCCACTTGGAAGGCAAATGTCTCGGTTGTCTCTGTATTTCTTTTTGATTGATGACTCCCACTTTTTCTTGGGCCGTATTCTAGCAGCAATGAACAATTGCCCCATAACAACAATTTAGTGTGTAGACACTATGAGGTCCCCCACCCTGATTGGGACCCGGCCGAAGCAAGACAAGGAGCTTTGCACAGAGGGAGGCTGAACAGCCATCTTTTCTGCAGTCATAGGCGATCATCTCAGGAGCATCATGCATTAGAAATTGCCTTCTTTGAGGAAGTCAAAGCCATTTCTGAAAAAAAACACATTGTAAAACAGTTGTCACTGGGAGGGTAGCTATATAGCAGCCTCGCAGTTAGGACTCTTGCCTGAGATGTGGAAAATGTGTGTAGGCTGTGAGTCAGCAGAGGCTGGAAAAGACCAATTATGTTCTCAGCTGTGGGCAGAAGCAAATGTTGTGTCTGGGTGCTTTGGGAGCCCAGAGAAGGAGCAGTGATTGATAGCAGAGGATAGGCAGTGGAGGAGGATGGGTGCTCCAAGACCAGCTAGCCCAAGTTCTACCTGGATCCCAGGTGAAGTGCGGCAGCACTGATCCAAACATCTCCCTGAGTCATTATTTCAATGAAAAGCAAAACATTTAGGTAAGATATGAAAAAATTAACCTAGAAGCCATGCCAGCCTTCCTTTCTTTCTGCCTTTTTGTCTTTCTTTACCTGCTTTTCTCTCCTTTCAGAGGTTGTTCCCACATGGGGACCTCTTTGTTCTCTGTCAGTGGCCATGATTCATCCGCTCACTTGCTTTTATTTCCTCCTCTGTGCATTTCTTTTTTTCTCTCTCTCTGGGGTCTTTGCTTCCCACAGTAGCTCAGAGCCTGAAGCCTCTGACAACAGCTTGGCAGCTATGTGTCAAGGGCTTTGTAAATCCCCAGGGCTCAGATAGTGTATCCCAGGAGTGAAAAGGTGGTGGATGTTCTGCTGATGTCTGGAGTTCTTTTTGACCCTCTGCAAGCCATGCAGGATTTGCAGGTCCTGACTTCTTCCAACATTTGTACAGCTTGCACTGGGAGAGCTGGCAGCAGCTTCAGAGGGAGTGCTGAGACTCCCAGGGAAGGAGAAAGTGAGCATTAGCCAGTCCCTTCTTGCTCACCTTCCCCAGGCCGTGTTAGGGCAGAAGCACCAGCTGGTGCAAAGCCCTTTTTAGCTTCACTATCGTGCATCCTCAAAGGAGGCAGCTTTTAGAAGATGTCTTGGGTAAAGTCTTCTCCAGCAAATGAATCAGTGCTGGGACAAGAGGAGTTAGGCAGAGGGATATTGAAGTCCAAGACAGCAGCTCCTCATTCGGCCCTCAGCTTTCCTTTGTAATTGCAACATGTAGGCACTACGTAGAGGCGGATAGCAAGTTAATAAGGGTAATCTGCTAAAATAACTTGTGTGGCTCTGTAACACTTTAAAGGAGGGGTTTCTTTCTCTTCCTCCACAGAGACTTGAAGTTAGACAACGTCCTCTTGGACAATGAGGGGCACATCAAAATTGCTGACTTTGGGATGTGCAAGGAAAACATGTTTGGAGATGCGAAGACAAGTACTTTCTGTGGGACTCCTGACTATATCGCTCCTGAGGTAGGTGTGGAGTCTAGGGAGGTCAGGAAGCTGCTGTGAGACAGAGAATGTGTCTTAAGACATGACTGTCAGTCAGTGGTGGAGGGTGCAAAGAGTAATAACCTGCTTTTGAGCAGTTCCAGGCCAGAAACTGGATTTCAGTTTGATTCAGAGCCTGCATTGCTGTCTGGCATTGCATATTTTTGTGGCTAATTCATTTTTTGTGCAAATGGGCCTGGGAAGCAAGTGGTGGTTGGCTGAACCAAGAAACAGAATGCTTAATGGAAATCTAGTTCAGGCCATGGCAGAAGAAGCTCCAAGAGGTAGGTCCTGAAATTCAGGGACAGAAACAGCACAGACAATGGGAAGCATGTTCCCTAGTTAGCTAACAGTAGGTTTCCATGGCTGTACAGGCTCCTTGATAGCTAGTAGGGAGCTATGGGCACTTCTAAGGGATGACAATCATCACAACCTAAGAGACAAAATAGAGAAAGGGGGCAAAATGCCTGCCTGGAGCTGATTCTCCCTCCTCATTGATCTCTGTCTTCTAAACAGACAAGAGAGGCTGGGTCCACGATGAAGCAGAGATTGGGGTTCACTTTCCCTCTGGGATATGCTCTGATGCTTGAATAGGGATGGCACCCATAAGCTTGGACTTCTGTCTTACTCAGACAGGTTCTTAGCTGGCTGCAAACACAGCCTGCATTGCGAGCATGCTCCCAGAGTTGAATAAGGCACTATATGCTCTGAAAAGGCTCTGCCATCAGAGGCATAACCTTAAAACTGAGCACAGACTTGAAGGTCTGTTTAGATAAAAAACAACCAATAGCTTCTTGTAAAAGGGACTGAGATGCTTGGAAACATAAACATGAGAGTGGTCATATATCCTGATTTTTCCCCTCTAAATGCCAGCAGTCAGAGGATAGGTGTTGCTGTCTGGAGGACAGCTGGGATCCGACCTGGTAACTCTGGGCTACCTGCTTCTCTGCTTTGGCTGTGCATGGTGCCAGAGCACCTCATGGCACTGCATGAATCCACCCCTGGAGGACATGCCTCCACAAGTTGCCTCCTGGTGAAGGAGGTTCTAAAACTAGAGATGATGGAGCTGTATCAGGGCCAGACTTTGCTTGAGCTAACAAGGGCAAGGCAGAGCTTGTAGCTTGTGTTAAGGTCCTGCTCTGCCCCCTTGATTCAGGAAGGCTGGGGCTTGTATGGAGACAGTCTACAAGCTTCATACAAAAACACACCAACAGTTCCTCTTCTCCTTCTGCAGTTGATATCTACTGATACTCAGTGGAAAAAAGCTGAACCTGGCTTCCATGTGCTCGTGCAATAAAACTGGGTGGTCACAGACGCCAGACTCCAGCTTGCCCATAGCGAGATCCTTTGCCCTTCCCCTTATTTCTTTCCATTTTTTCCCACACAGAAACTTCTTTTTTTTTTTTTTCCCCCCAGTAAATTTAGATATTTTGGATTAGATCCCTTCAGAAAAGAGAAAGCTCCCTTAACCTGGTGACCTCACACAATGATAGATCTTACTATGGAGATGCTTTGACTAATTAGGTGGCAAATTGGGCCCAAAGAAAACATTTTTCAGCTCGGAGAAGAACTTACGAGTCATCCACGCATCATGTCTGACATCACTCTGAAATCCATTTATTTGCCATTCAAGATCTCATTTCCTGATTTTAGTGTTTTCATGATGGATATTGGTACTTTCCAAATGGCTTTTAAAACTTTTGGTTTTTTCCCCTCCACTATAATTCATTGATCTTTTACTGTGCACCAAGGGCTCGATTCTGATCTAGGTTACACCACCGCTAACACAAGGGCTGGTCTCTTCGAATCAATTGGATTTGTATTACCTAAAAGCAGGTGTAAGTGTGCTCTGCAATCAAGCTGCAATTGTCTTTTATTCCACTTCAACATGCTTTTATTTAAAAAAAAAAAGCTATTTTCTGATCCTAAAAAAAGAGAGCCAAGTGATAATCCATTATCTGTGATTTTACTTCATAGAAAAGAGAAAGACTAAAATAGCTCAGAGTTTTATTTCTGCACCATCAGTTATTTTAGAGATTCAACGAGTGCATATAAAACATTTTACCTCTAAATTGAAAGCACTGCTAAAGTTTATGGATCATCTCTCCTGCCAGGGGCTAGAAAGCACTGGATTTTTTTGTCAGTATTTCAATGCGGCTGCTAGCACTGTAATTTGTTACAGACCCAACACCTTGGCTACAGCAAATAACGGGACTTTGGGTCAGTAGACAAGCAATTTTTTATTTCAAAAAATGTTTGGAAAAAAAAAAGACTTAACCTGAAATGAAATTTCTGAGTTTGTTTATTTTTTCCAGAGAATTGCAAAGCTAATAAATCTTTTCCTTGACTGCCATAAAACATTTAATTTCATTCTCCAGTCATTTTATACTTTAAAAAGTAAAGCCTTATAAAAACAATATGTCTTTTCAGAAGGAAATGTTGGGGTGATTTTGTTTGTAAGTGACTCAGAATAAATATATTTGGGAGTCTTACTCTTTCCTTTTTTTTTTTAGTATGAATGAAACACATTGTATATATTGCATCCTATATTCAAGTTATAGGTTTTTTGTCCTTTTTGCATCTCCTCTTTTGGCATTTTTGGAGATAGATGTGTTGTCATGAACAGTCTACATCAGCTTGAGTTTAGGCTTTTGATATTAAGGTCCTGCTCTGCTAGATGCCACAGGTACATTAGAAAGGGATATGTCTCACGTAATGTAAGAAAATTCATCTAAAAGTGAAGCATCTGATGGGACTTTATAGTGTTGTAGAAGGGCAAACATCCCAGAACACAAGTAATCCCTTCCTACCTTAGGTGTGTAAGTCAGTTAAATCACCATTTTTCCTCCATTGGAATGGAATGGAATGGAATGGAATGGAATGGAATGGAATGGAATGGAATGGAAAAGAATAGAATAGAATAGAATAGAATAGAATAGAATAGAATAGAATAGAATAGAATAGAATAGAATAGAATAGAATAGAATAGAATAGAATAGAATAGAATAGAATAGAATAGAATAGAATAGAATAGAATAGAATAGAATCGAATAGAATAGAATAGAATAGAATAGAATAGAATAGAATAGAATAGAATAGAATAGAATAGAATAGAATAGAATAGGCTATTTCAGTTGGAAGGGACCTACAACAATCATCTAGTCCAACTGCCTGACCATTCAAGACTGATCAAGTTAAAGCATGTTGTTACGGGCATTGTACACCAACAAGCTTGGGGCATCGACCACCTCTCTAGGAAGCCTGTTCCAGTGCTTGACCACCCTCTCGGTAAAGAAATGCTTCCTAATGTCCAGTCTAAACCTCCCCTGGTGCAGAGACTCTGGATAACTAAACTAATAAGACACATAATTTTTAGGCAATAAGATGAATCTGGACCCAAGTGACAATTTACAAGCAACACAGACAAGGTATGAAAACAGAGAAGAAATTACTCACCTACTTCCACTGTACCTCAGAGCCAGCAGTAAAGATCACCTCTCTAAATCATAATTTTTCAGCTTTCAGCAGTTTCATATGTACTGATGTGGATAGTTGTTTTCACTGGTATTAAGCCACCTCCATGGTTTGTCACTGATACCTACACCATAGCTATAGTATAGGGGATAATATGTGCAACCAGGCTGTAGGCTCAAGAGCAAAGATTGTGCCTTAAAATGAACTATTCCCCTCTCCAGATCTAAAATCCTAATAAGGATCCTAGACATCATAGTCATCACATGTACCTTTAGACATCTGCAATGTAAATGTCTATATATTAGCAAGTCATCTAGGTTCCTTGATAACCAAAGGAGAGAAATAGGAGGATGTATTTTACAGCAGGTAGATACTTAGCTGGATGTCTAAAATTGGACTAATTCTCTTCCTTGACTATAAAAGGAGCTAATGATCATAGAATCATAGAATCATAGAATGCTTTGGGTTGGAAGGGACTTTTAGGTCATCTAGTCCATCCCCCCGGCAATTGGCAGGGGCATCTTCAACTAGATCAGGTTGCTCAGAGCCCCATCCAGCCTGGCCTTGAATGTTTCCAAGGATGGGGCATCTGTCACCTCTCTGGGCAACCCGTTCCAGTGTTTCACTACCCTCATCCTGAAAAATGTCTTCCTTATATCTAGTCTGAATCTACCCTCTCTTAGTTTAAAACCATCACCCCCTGTCCTATCGCTATTGGCCCTGCTAAAAGTCTGTCCCTATCTTTCTTATAAGCCCCCTTTAAGTATTGAAAGGCTGCAATAAGGTCTCCCTGCAGCCTTCTCTTCCTGTTTCAACTCCAGCTATCTCCATAACAGATATCTAAAGGCAAGTGAGATTAATTTTGCTTCCCCACAGGGGAGGTTTGAGAACTTGGTGGTGTCTGGCCAGGTTTGTAGGGGAAGAAAATGCCACATCCTTTCTTAGGGGAGGTTGTCGCTCCAGCTGACCCTCCCTGGCCCCCACACACTGGATGTAGCCTTCACTTTATAGCTGACACAGAAAGGCACAAACCAATAGGCTGACTGAGGACAAATTCCCATTCCTCTACCTATAGCTCAGTTGGTCTCAAGAGGACAGATCAGCAACTGCTTTCCCATTGTTTTCCTGGGGCAGATTTTGCGGGGATAGATTCACACCATTTCCACTGACTGATAGTCCTAAAGTACCCTTACACTGCCAAACTTGTAATTTTAAAATACAACTTGTGTGACTTAAATCAGTCCCAAAATGCTAATACCTAACCATTTGTCTTCTTGGAGTTCACAAGCATGCTTTGAACCCTTGGGATAACTTGGAGAGCAGGCAAAAGATGACTTGACTCACTTTTTATTTCAGATCTCTCTGGTAGCCAAGGATTTGTTCAAGTAACTTAAGAGTAATTAGAGAAACACAGAACCTGTTATCCATAGTGCAAAGGACTGTTTTAGCACACAGATGTGGCTGCGATTTGGAGCTCCCTCAACCACAGCCTCTGCACCACTAGCAGATGCGCTGGCTCATGCTTCAGGCAGAGGGAAGCACCTCTGCTATCCCACTCAGTGCAAAGTGGTTGTTGAAAGGTCAGGGTCTGGCCACCCTTCTGAAGTTGAAACACTGATGTCAGACATTTTGTGTCTGTCTTTGTCACTTCTCTCTTTGGGCAGATATTGCTGGGGCAGAAGTACAACACCTCCGTTGACTGGTGGTCTTTTGGCGTCCTCCTGTATGAGATGCTTATTGGCCAATCTCCTTTCCATGGCCAAGATGAAGAGGAGCTTTTCCAGTCTATCCGTATGGATAACCCGTTCTATCCTCGCTGGCTTGACAAGGATGCAAAGGACATTTTGGTGAAGGTAAGAATTACCACACATTGAACAAAAGTCTTTTTGCCAGAACTGTCATATTTGATTTGTGCATATTCAGCTGTTGTTCAGAGAAACAAGTTTAGTGTGATAGGACCAGAGAGTCACTTTTGTGTCTGTGGACCTCAAAGCACACCTGACCTAAGTCATAAGGCCATCTTTGGGTTGTCTTTCTCCTGAGTTTTGAGGATGGCTCCTCACATCCAGGAAGTAGGATCGCAGGGTATCAGATACCAGCAGAGATCAGTTTCTTTGCAGAGCGATCCCTAAGTGTGAGGCATGTTAGCTCCTGGAAAAGATATTCTACCAGGCTTCAAACTAAGCGTTACAGAGAATTCCTTGAAAATTATGGCTTTGAAGCAGTTCTTGTGCCTCCGTCAGAGATATGAGGACGTCTAAGGTAGATTGATTTGGTGTTCAGCTTGATTTTCAGTAGAGAATATTTTGCATCTTTGCACTGAGCTAAACAGCAGGAAAACAAAGCCTGAGCTGTGCCCTGAAGTGGTGGAGCTACTTAAGCTGGTAGCACCATGTTATCTGGATTTTTGGCCCTTTGAATCTCCTGCATAGCAATGCAGTGTCCTTTCTGAGTGGAGCACTCCCATTTCCCTCTAATGGGCATCCTCCTCGTCTCTTAGGTTCCTTTCCATTAATACACTGATTTTTTCATTGCCTCCTTCTCAGTCCCATGCCATTTAGCATTGTAGCCCTCCTGGCTTAGGATGCAAATTATTCTAGAGTCTCAAGATAAAAATGCAATGAATTCACAGCTAGTGTAATAAGTTACCTCCCCTCAGTCGGGCTTTGGACTGACATTGAACATGATCTAAGTTAAGAAATTTTACCTCAAGATGGAGCACGGTGAGAGAGCATGTACAGAGGGTTATAATGGCTCAGCTGATATGTGGTAACTTGTTTAGCACTTGATTTTGGTGATATTTCACCTACAGGCCCTACCTTTACTTTTTCATTTACAAAGTGACAGAGCAACATACAGCATTCCACTACAAAAAAATGGAGAACAGGAGATTATTTTAGCATCTATGCTGGGCTCAGATGTTTAGGTATCACATTAAAATGATAATAATTAAAACATTCAAAAGCAATTCTTCAGGAAGACATACCATAGCAGACTGAGATTTTGAACGTCTGTTTCTGGGACATATGCTACCATCTTTCTGCACAAACGACCTGTACTTCTGTCAGGATTCAAGATGGTAATCATCTTCATACCAATCAATAAACTTCCTTGCTTAGTAAAAAAACCATTTTCTCCATTATGGGCTACTCTCATTGCCACTGACTCTGGATAATTACATATTCCACCCTGCTTAATGCCTGTATTATCAGCACAGAATTTAACCTATGGAATCTGCACTGCTGTGTAACCAGTTGTCTGTAGGACACTTCAGTTTTGGTGAGGCTTTGCCCACAGTATTCACCAAAACCCAATGCCTGTTTTTTTTTCAAACAGGCCCTCAATGGTCCATACATCAGATTCTTTTGCTGCTACTTTTGAAGTTAGATATTTATATTTGTTCTTTAATGAGTGATATCTATTGTATGCTCACTGTTGGCCAAATAGATACTTGTATTTATTATTTGCTGAGTGGTATCTCTTGTATTCTTACTGTTGGCCAAATAGAGTAGCAAGAAACTTTTACCATATGAAACCCAAATCCATTTTGAGATGACCTCCAACAGCAAAGTGCTTTTGAAAATTTTCCCTTACCTCTGAAGTAGGACATATTGGCTGTATTCAGGTCACTTGCTGTCAAGTGTTGCCACTATTCTTCTCCGTTGACTTTAGAGGGATCTAGGATCTGGCGTTATACGGGCTAGCTGGCCTGGAGGCCCCAGACATTTTACTGCAGATGTAAAGATAAATTTTAAACTATTCACAGCCACCATTACAGCAATATTTCAGCACTACATCCTGTTCACGAGCATTGAGAGGAGCTCTGAAGCATTTAGCGCTCCTGAAACTCTCCCCCAGAAACACTTAAACTGCTTCCAGAGACAAATGGCTCCTGCATCACCATAAAAACATCTATGACAAAACAGACTATGTTTACACCAAAGTGAAGAGTGGGCTCAGACCTGCACATAGCTGATGGTGAAAATATATGCCCCCAGTTCTAGCTTTTTCCTACCTTCAGCAAAATTAGTCATCCACAGGACTTGTAGCCTGCAGTGTGCAGCAAACACAAACTGTCTGAATTGGGAGTCTTTTGTCAAAGTAGACGGTTGTCAGCATCTGAGCTAGTCAGTGGAGAGAAGCAAGCACTTCCAGGGTGTATTTTATCTCATCTTTAAGTGTGTAAAGGAGGTCAGATGATTTGCACCTAAGATGACTGTTCTTCTCCATTAATTGTAAAGGGTCAAATAGTGACACTCTAAGTGTCCAAAGGTATAGGAGGTGAATGCAACCCCACATAGGCCACACTAGTATTTTCACAAATTATGCTTATATTTCAGCCCTAAAAAATTTTCTGATAGCAAGAAATTGTCCAGACAAAAGCTTGCAAGTGCGATCCAGATATTTCACCTGTGTAGTTGCATATTTGCATGCTCAGACACATATGTTGTTGTTGCTGTAGCAAATTTGTCCTCTCTCTCCTGCAAAGGACAAATATGGCCAAGGTCTCTCAATTTTGGTATGTTAGGCTAGGAATCCGAACTGGTTCCCCAATCAGAAATTTAGTAAGTTAGAAGAGTCTTCATACTCTCACTAACCATACTTAAGTTTGAAGTCTGAGGCCCTATCTGGTAGGACTGTCCTAATGAATACACTTTTATTGATAAAAGACTAAGGTATTTCTCCTTCTTCAACATTCTAGCTTTTTGTGAGAGAACCTGAGAGGAGACTGGGAGCAAGAGGGAACATCCGCCAGCATGCCTTTTTCCGGGAAATAAACTGGGAGGCTTTAGAAGAAAGAAGGATGGAGCCTCCTTTCAAACCAAGAGTGGTAAGAATATGTCTTCTTTCAATTCCACCCATCTCACATCTTTCTCTCCTGAATGATTCATTTCCAAAATACTTAAACCCTCCAGCACATGCTGGCAATAAACCAAAGCCAGGACCCACAGTAATGTTATAAACCCATTTATTTAGGGGCACTGTCCAAAATCTTCAGACATAGGTCTTTAACGTCAGAGACCTCAAATCCTGTTTAGATTCACAGAGTCAGCATTTTAAAAGTGGATAAATGCCTGCTTCACGCTGGAACTAACAGTTTAAGGCACCAAGTTAAAGCTTTCAAAATGCCCTCGAATTTTCAGGGATATCTTCTGAAGTTGCTTTGCACATGCAGCCTCTCTGTGTAAAAGTAGATGGAGGACCTTGGTCTTAGGCAGTCAGAATGGAAAGCGTTGACTCTTACTTAAATGTCCAAAGGCAGATTAAATTGTTCACAGGCTGTCTGGTATGTTGTGTACATCAGATACAAGCAGCTGAAACCATCTACAATTTGGATCTACCACAGCCTCACTCATTGTACAGTCATTGGAAAGATAATTGTGAACTATGTACGTCTATTGTCTGGGCTGCCTGACTTGATCGTCGTGACTACTACTTTCTGATGGCTATAAGCCCAGGTCTGGTATGGCCACACCTGAGAAACCACAAATTACTCATCACTTTCTCAGTTACCATAGCAGGGGTCTGGATGCCACTTAAAACACCTTCCCTTAGCCACATAAGTGCAACCCATTCTGGAGGATTTCTCCTTCACTGCACTGCAGAAGGCAAAGAAGGAAAAGCAGTTCAGGTAATCAAGTGGTTGGCTAAGTTGGGATAGTCCTGACTATTAATAACAGTCCTATTAAACTATTAGATTCCTATTAATTACAATAATATAATTTAATTTGACAAGTGCATCATAGTCTCATTTTACAGTCCTTCACAAGTGTTATTTAATTGATGTGTCCAGCCTGCTGTGTTACAAAGCTGTAACATCCCTGCTGGCAGAATTAATGGATTGCAGGCTCAGTGCCTCCTATATAATATTTATTCCCATTACTACTTCAATAGGATGGTAATAAGCAAGTGATTATCACTGGTTGCTGGATATTAAGAGCTCAGGCAGAAGTTCACTGCAGTTTGACATGTTACTGTGCATCGTTTGAGCTGGAGTAACTAATCATTGTGCAAAAGGCCAAGAGCAAACACATTGTGGTTTCCCTGGCTGAGCTGAGCTTGCTCCCAACTAGTTGAGCTGAGCCTATAGGAAGCAGCCTAATAGGGCCAGTACCATTGTAATGAAGATCTGAATATTAGTGGTTTGACATCAATTTTTTTTTCTTTTTCTTGAAGAAATCTCCGAGTGACTGTAGCAACTTCGACAAGGAATTTCTAAATGAAAAACCTAGACTGTCCTGTGCCGACAGAGCACTGATTAACAGCATGGACCAAAATATGTTCAGCAACTTTTCTTTCGTGAACCCTAAAATGGAGAAAATATTTTCCTGAGATCTGCCTTACTGAAGGGATTCTCTGTAATGGTTTGAGTAACACTTTGTCAACTGAAGAATGTACATGGCTATTTTTATCAAGAACCCACCAGAAAAGTACCTCAGTGAAAGTTTGTACCATGCCTGGAGGCTTCCAGCTTAATCCAGTCTGTAGCAGATGCCAGCCACTCTTCACTAATGATGAAGTTTCTTCGTGGTATCTTTTGGTCTCTCTTCTCTCTTTTCCCAGTGTTCTTGAAGTTGAGAGCATCTGAAAATGAGGAAGTGAAAAAACCTATTCCCACTACTTGTACACAGAGCCAATGGGTTTCTCTGTAAGAAAAAACAAGTATATTTGAGTTTCTGGTGATGTCAGTGCCCATTTCCGCAATTTTCACCTCAGCCCACCTCCTTCTGAAGGACAAGTGGTTTGCTCAAGGCCTGACGGCATCTGGGAAGGCTTCAGGCTGGATGCTTTTGTAACCTCCACTTGTACATGTGCAGAATTGTGCATGTGTACACAGGAGCTTTGAAGAAGCGATTTCACTCCCTACATACTTTAAAAGTAATGTTCACAGGTGTTAGGATTCAATTTTGCTCCACTGGGACAAAGAGACTTTGCAGGTGCCCATTCCAGCGTCTGTACATCTCAATCAGAGGCCCTGGAGCTAAGGACTCAACCCCGAAGAAGGATCGTTGCCATGGCAAGTGTCAAGATCAATACAGAAAACCAGTGGTTTACACTTAGTACTTGAGCAGGAAGGATGGGAAATTGCAGTCCAGCAGAAAGCCTCGGAAAACCCCTGTTCTAAAGCTTTAACTGTCCTTGCACACACCAGGCTCAGAGCAAAATCTGGACTGGGCTTTCTGGAGTTTTATCCTAAAACTGCATGAGAAAGGTGGAAGAGGTTTTCTCAAATCATTGTTTAAGCATCATAAAACTGGCCTTCCAGTCACAGCATTGGCATATTTTACTTGAAAGGTAGTAATCAGTCCTTGCAAAGGCTGATATACTTTCTCTTACTCTAAATGATGTCCCAAGTCTTTGGTATGCATTGCAGACATAGGTCAACAAGCTACACCCAACAGTCACAGGGCAGGACAGCACATCGGCTGAGGGTGGTCCTCTCCTTCACCTTGTGACATTTTGCTGTGTGTTCTATGCCTTTGCATTCTGTGGAAATGTAGATGGGTTAAAAAAATCTTTTCTGTGATCCTTTCATCATGGGATCCTTTTAAATAAAGATGCACTGTTTTCTGAGGTTGGAGAGATGTAGAACCGCCCAGTTACTGCTTGTCACTGAGACACCAGTTAAATACAGGGTCAAAATTAAGTCAAAGCCCAAAGAGAGGATTCTTCAATAGCTGAGACTTAGGGAGTCACCCCAGCTGGTGTTAGGCTCTAATTGAAGTGTATACATTTGGAGCTTCATTGCATGAACCCCTCCAGTCCATAG